CCCCCGCGGTCGCGGTCCCGGAAGTCCACACGACGTCCGCCGTACCGCTCATCGCGACGCTCACCGCGGAGGAGGCGAAGTGGGAGCTCCCGAAGAAGCGCGCCGTGCCGCGGACGAAGGAGGAACGCGGGCCGATCCTCAAGTTCACGGAGCTCGTCACGAAGGTGCGTTCTATACACTGGTTCCCATACGACCGCGTTGGCGTGGTGAACGCCGATCCTTAAGGACGTTTGCCGGCGCATCTCTCCGCCCAGCCCTCGCTTTCAATCCCCGCCCTCGGCGCCAATCAACTCCACCTGACGCCTTTGAATTCCACCCCGACATTCGCTCGTATGGAACGACCCGAAGACGCAAAAGCCGAGCGCGAAAGCCGCCGCCGCGGCGCTTCGAGCCGCGGGCGCTCGAGCGCGCGAGCTCCGAGAGGAGGCGCGGCGCGAGCGCGGCGAGGACGACGACGATCTTCTCGAGGACGACGCGGAAGCGGCGGACGACGACGACGACGACGATCTCGACGCGGAGGGAGAGACGGGGGGGGCGAGAGGGGAGGACGACGACGAGGACGAGGACGACGACGACGGATTCGGGACGTCGCGCCGCGCCGCCGCGGCGCGGAGGCTGCGCGCGACGTCCGGTCGCGCCGCCGCCGCGCCTCCCCCGCCGCCGCCGCCAGCGCTAGCGCCCGACGCGTACGACGAGTACGAAGACGACGCGTACGACGACGAGTACGAAGAGGACGAAGTCTCGGAGGACGACGCGAACGACCCGGGGATCGCGAAGGGCGTCGGCGACGGGCACTTCGCGCCGATGCCGCGGTATACCCCGGCGGAGCACGTCGAGTGGGAGGATGGCATCGCGTGGGGGGACGACGACGACGACGACGACGACGGCGGCGGCGGTGCTGACGCGAACGCGGGCGCGGTGTTGGTGGACGGGTCGGACGAAGATGAGGAGCCGGCGGCGGCGGCGGCGGCGGCGGGGACGAAGCGCGCGGCCCCGCGAGAGGCGGCGGGCGCGGGCGACACGGCGGCGGCGGGCGGCGGGGAGAAGAAGAAAATGGTATTTCGCATGGCGTGCAAGCCCGAGGAGAAGCCCGCGGCGCCGAGCGGCGGCGGCGGCGGCGGCGGCGGCTCGACCGCGGGGAAGGCTCCCGCGACGACGACGACGACGACGACGACGACGACGACGACGAAGCCGTCGGCGACGTCGGTCGCGGCTCCCGTGCCCGACGCGTCCGCCGTCCCCGCGGGGTCGCTTCCGAACGACCACGCCCCTCGACACTCCCGCGGCGTGAAGACCGGGGTCCGGAAGTGGTGGGGCGAGGACCCGGAAGCGTTTCTCCCCGCGGAGTCTGTCCCGTTCACGCGTCACCCGCAGAGCACGCGTCTGTGGGGGGAACCGAGACGGGACCCCCACCCACGCGGCGGCGACGCGGCGACGCGGTCGAAACCCTCCGTCTCGGAAGCCGCGCCCGCGGACGGCGCGGCGGCGGCGGTCGGAGCGAAGACAACGGAGACGGAGACGCCGGCGGCAGCGGACGCGACCGCCGCGGACGCCGCCGCCGCCGCCGCCGCCGCCGCGGACGCGGACGCGGACGCTGAAGAAGAAAACACGAGCTCCGCGGACGTCTTCGGCGCGGGCGTTTTCGGTCCCGGGATCTACTCCGACGTGCGCTTCGCGGCGTCGCGAGAAGGCGCCGCGGCGTCGATGTTACGCCGACGCAACGAGGCGCTCGCGAGAGGGGACTGGCTCGAGGACGTCGAGTGGGAGGGCGACGGCCGCGGCGGGCGCCGGATCGTTCCCCCGGTGTTCATAAACCCGAACGACGAGTACTTACGGCTGCGGTCGTACTTCACCGGCGAGGAGGACGCGCGCGCGACGCGGCGGTGGGCCGCCGCCGCCGCGGACGTAAAACCCGGCCGCGCACTCGAGCCCGCGGACGACCTCGACGCGTTTCTGCACATCTCCCTCGACGACGACGACGACGCCGACAAGGGCGGCGACGGGATGGACGGCGCGGGGAAGAAAGATAAAGGCCTCGTCGGGCGGCCCGGGCGGATGGAGGGGATATACAACACCGCTGTCGTGGCGGGCCCGCCGCAGTTCGCGCCGCATCAGCACATTAAGCACTGGCCGAAGACGCCTCCGATGATGACGCCGCCCGCGCACGTGCAGCGGCATCGCATCGCGTTGAATTTAGGGATGAAGAAGAGCGCGAAGGATGAAAAGTTTACCGTTCACGTGCGGTCGCTGACGACGGACTCGCCGATCACGAAGATCGCGGTGCGGCCGTCGGACACGATCGACGCGCTGGTGAGGCGCGTGAGGAAGAAGTGGCCGAACGGGGACGACATGGGGCCGCTGCAGGTCTTCTATCCGGAGGGCGAGTCGTACAAAGCGTACGTGAAGGAACGCGACG